TTTGTACTAAAGCTACTTTATCCAAGGTGGTCAAGGATTCAGATCCAGATGGGTATAATTTCAGCTCAGCCTGCAGTATGCTCTAGCAATCACAGACCATGTGCTGGAATGCTTGTATAAACACATACAGGAATATTTCTATTCCTGTTCACAACATCAGCATGCAAAAGACAATTTAGGCAGCATCAGGTGAGGTCACTTTGCAAGGGTTCAGGTTAATCAAAGATTTTACACCCAGCAATTACTAATCTACCTCAGAAATGTACCAATAAACATATCTGTGCAGTTCCATAGGATTTCATCCCATCGTCAGCCCAGTTTTGCATTTATTATGTATGGATCTGCCTAGGCAGGTCACCTTTTCTAGATTTGGATTCTATATTTTCCCTGTTCTGCCAACACCAGCCTGAACTGAGATCACACTGATAGAACCAGCAAATAGACACTCAGGAAAATGATACTGCTAGGCAGAAAAAGCAGAAAACTCCTGGAAATTTGCAAACCTACTCTTTGCTATATCACTAGTTCAAGATTTTATTAAATATCACTGCCCAGGGACAGCAATGATTCAAAGTACGCTCTGCCTTAAAAGTTCCAGCACTTGACCCACTTCTTACAAAGAAATAGGACATCAATTGAATTCCTAACTTTACATTTCAGCTCACTAGTGACAGGACTCTTGTCACCCCCTCTCATGGTTTGACATTGGCTGAACACCAGGCACCCACAAGAGCTGCTTGCTCACCCTTCCTTCTACAGCTGGGCAGAGGAGAGAGAAAAATTTAACAAAGGGTTCACAAGTTGAGATAACGACCAGGAGAAAACACTCCAAAGGCAAAACAGGCTCAGCTTAGATGTACAAAGTGAGTTTATTGCTAACAAAATCAGACAGGAAAAATTGTGCCCACTTTGGTTTTTTTTTCTTCTTAATTATGTTATCACAGAGACATTACCAACATCTCTAACTGGTCCAGCCTTGGCCAGCAGCATGTCCATCATCAGAGCCAGCAGGGATTGGTGCTGCCAGACATTGTGGAAGCTTCTGGCAGCTTCTCACAGAAGCCATCTCTGTGGCTCCCCTGCTACCCAAAACCAACACACCCTCAAAAAGCTTTGGCTCTATCGACATAATAAACCAGCTTGTTGCTACTTCCAACAAGCCCTCTTGGTAAGGTAACCACGCCTCTCAGGCATGCAGTTTCCATGAGAGTGGCAGGATCCTCATGTGCTGCAGTGTCATGCTCTCAGCAGCAGCATGGCAGCAGTTCCCTTCTTTCCACAAAGCTTTGGGGTTTGTTTTTTTTTTTTTTTTTTCAGAAACACTTGCCAGTAGTTCTTTCAGTTGCTGCAAACTTATAATCTTTTTAAGATATGTGAATCAACAATTCAGGTGGATTGAGTGCTGCCTAACCCACTTCTTTTTAGTGATGAATGGTCCAGTACACCCCACCACAAACTGCAGGCAATCTAGGTCTTTTAAAATGTCATTTTAATTTTTTGCTGGTCTATTCAGGAACAATCAGTGATGTTCTTCGTTTAACCACCGTTAAAAAAATCACTAACATCTGAAAAGACTTGTCTGTATTTTTGTGAATGAAGAGTTCCCCAATACAGAACCTACTATGAAGGCTACTCAATGCTTATTGATAATGTAATTTTTTAAAGTTATTTCCTTGCAGGTCCCTTTCTGTCGAGGTACAATTATAGCAAAGTATGACAGCTATTGAGAGCTGATGGTATGGCTTTTCTGTGCCCAAAAAGAGGCCTATCAGAAACTCGATTGTAGCCAAGTGGTACCAGACTAGTTTTCAGCCAGCTCCTAAATGTTACATTTACCTAGTTCTTGCTTTAAATCATACCAGTTTGCCCCTCTGCAGTCTGAGAACAGTCAGAAGACCCCAGCCTCCACACTACTGTACCTGAAACCTTTGTCTGATGAAACATTCAATCCATGTGAAATTTTCTTAAGCCTGGACATGTAGGGAGAGATATATATTGCTGCATCTTCACTGTTGTTTCTTTCACACATTAAAAAGACAAAACTGGCCTGCTGATTACATTCCTCTCCAAAAATTTTGTTTAACAGAATAACATAATCACAGAAGAGTGAGGGCTGGAAGGGACTTCTGAAGATCATCTAGGCCAACCCCCCTGCCAAGGTAGAGTCACCTACAGGAGATGTGAAGCAACACATCCAGATGAGTTTCGAATGTCTCCACAGTGGGAGACTCCACCACCACCCTGAATACTTAAAAGAAAGATTCTGTATTTTCTCCACCAGTGTATTCTTTGCTTGCTTGGCCACTTCTGGATGGGGTATAATCAAATCTTTTCACACCATTTCACAGGTGCTTTGATCTGATGCCTACATTTACAGTAATAGGAAAGAATGCTGCAACCCAAGATGTACAGAATATGTCACCCTTAACCTTAAGAACAGAGATAGTACATCTTCGGGATGCTGAGCCATAGTGCCCTCATTTTTTCTAACAGTTATGACTTTCAGACATAAACTCCATTCTCCTGCACACATGAGGTTGCTTGGTTAACATCCAGAGAATGTCTGAACTGCCAGAGGCCCTTCTCAAATACTTCAGCCTCCAAGGACAGGATGATAGTCAATGCAGTAACTTCAGAAAAAGGTTGTGAATCATTCTGGCTTTCCTGGCAAATTCTAATGAAAATTTTTTATTTCCTCAGTGCTTCCTCTTATTTGGAGCAGGACAACAATATCACAGATGGGCTGTATTTGGTCCAGCTGAGATGAAGTTAATTTTCCTTACAGCAGCCCTTACAGTGCTGTGCTTTGCACTGGTAGTTACAGAGGTGTTGATAACACACCAGTGTTTGGCTTCTGCTGTACAGCACTGGCACAGCACCAGCACCAGCACCAGCATCTTCCCACCATTCTGCACCCCCCCATCAGTAGGCTGAGGGTGAGCAAGATCTTGGAAGGGGATGCAAACAGGCCAGCTGACCCGAACAGACCAAAGGGGTATTTAATACCATAGGATATAAAATATCATAAGCTATAAAAAATGTAAAAGCTAGCAAAAGGAGGAAAAAGGAGGAGACATTTGTTATTCATGTTTGCCGAATAGAGCAATGGCTACTTGTGCTGAAGTCCTGCTTCCCAGGAAGTGGCCTGATACCACTTGTTGATGCAACATAGTGAATAAAATCTTGGTCTTTTTCCTTGGCTTGCGTGCATGGAACCTTTTGCTTTTGCTTAAGTAAAATGCTCTCAACCCACAAATTGTCTTCCATCTTATTCTCTGTCCCCTGTCCAGCTGAGGAGGGGGAGTGATAAAGTAGTTGGTGCCTACCTGGCATCCAGCCAAAGTCAAACCACCACAGTTCTTTTTGGCCTCCAATATGAGGCAAGATAATGGCAGTTTTTTATCATGCATGCTACCATTATAATGGTTGTTATGTAGCAGGCTCCCCTACAGAACACTAAGTTTGTGAGCTGCTTATCTCTTTATTTTGCGAAGTTTAGGAACACGTTTACATAAACAATGACTCTGTCCTTTGCCCTTACATGGATGGCTTCGCCATGCTGGGGGAGTCTTGGGGGGGATGAGGGAGTACATCTCCCTTTCTCTGACCATGATTGATATGGATGGTTTTGTTAAACAAGCTCCTGCAGTCCTTGTTCATCCCTATAGTGAGCTGTTTACAACCAATAATTAATGCTACTAGCATATTATGGGATTTGTGTAATTTTGTGTTGACCTGATGTAAGGAAAAACAGAAGATTACACAGTTAAATGTGCTGAAGTGCTTCTTGCCAGGAAATGCCCAGACATCAGTTGTTGCTGGTAAGTAGAGAATAAAATATTTTTCCTTAGCATGCATGCAACCTTTTGCTTTTGCTTCAGTAAACTACCTTATTTTAACCTACTGGTTGTTTTCCATCTTACTTTTTCTCCTCTTTTCAGGGGAGAGAAAAACTGAAAATGGGGACTGACAAAGTGGCATCCAGCAAATGTCAACCCACCATATGGACCAATGCATACTGTCCACAAATCTTGTTTTTGATGCAAATAGTCTCAGTTTGTTTTAGTAAGTATTTTTGTTCATTTGTACATAAGGATAAATGGGATATCCCAAGGGCACCAAGAAAGAGCTTCCCTTGAGCTCAGAATCACAGGAGATTAATCTTTTCTTTCAAGACAAGCTTGTGAGAATTGTCTGTCCAACCTCACTGAAACCTATGTGTTTTGCAATAAAATTGGCAACCTGGGAAAGCACTGCAGACACTGAAAACTCCCAAGGTGTGAGCACAAAAGACCAGGTCTCAGTGCAGTTTCCTTCAGTTATAAACTACGCAACTGCCTCAAGACAGCTATTTCGGAACATGCCCTTGTCGCCAGGACTCCTCACAGAAACTGCACTCTTTTGCAGACTAACAAGAAGTGCAAACTTCTGGTGCACGGTGTGCCGCCAGGCGCTCCCGACAGCTAATCTTTTCAGTATTTTGCTTCAATGGCCAGTCAAACAACGCACACAGCAGCCACGGAATCACTCCCGCCCCGCGCCGCCCCCTCTCGCCGCCCCCGCCGCACCGTCCCCACACAGCCCCAGCCGCACCGCCCCCTAGCGGCCCCTCCGCACTGCGCAGCGCCAGGGAGCCCGAACGGCCGCGCTGGGGTCCCGAGCGAGGGGGCGGGGCGTCGCTCTGCCACGCCCACCGAGGGAGAGCGAGCGTGGCGGCTCCGCGGTGCGGCCGGGGCGCGAGACTCCGCCCACCTCCCTCCGCCAATGGGGGAAGGCGCCGCGGGGGGCGGGGCTGCCGCAGGCCGCGCGGGGGGCGGGGCCGGCGAGGAGTTGCCGCAGCGCCGCCGCTTGTAAACAGATCCCGCCCCACGTGACGCGCGCGCGGTGCTTGCGCGGGGGCGCCGCGCATTGTCCGCGTTGGTGACCGGCGGAACCCGCGCGGGGAGCGGGAGGAGGCGATTCCCGTCCGCCCTTCCTCCCTCGTCGCTCCGGTAGGGAAGCAGCGCACCCTCCCCCTTGTACCCCAGCCGCTAAGATGGCTGGTGGTGGGCGGTAAGGCGGTGCGGGGCTGCGGAGCAGCTGACGGGACGGGAGCGCGGAGGGCGGGCGGCGTGTGCCCGTGTGCGGAGTCGCGCAGCGCCATGTCCGCCTTCGCCCTGGAGGAGACGCTGGAGGCCGACTGGGTGGCCGTCAGGCCGCACGCCTTCCAGGAGCGGGAGAAGCACAAGTTCGCCTTCATCGTGGCCTGGAACGAGATCGAGGGCAAGTTCGCCATCACCTGCCACAACCGCACGGCGCAGCGCCAGCGCAGCGGCTCCCGTGAGCTGCGCCGCGGCGGCCCCGAGACCGGAGCCGTCCCCAAGGCTGGCGGCCCCGCGGTGCGCAGGGACCCGGGGCCGCCCCGGGGCTGCGCCCATCCCCGGGCCGAGGCGCTGCCCAAGAGCCCGCTGCGCCCCAAGGGCAGCCCGGCCCGGAGGCCGCAGCGCGGCCCGGAGGCGTCAGGTGCCGTCGAGGAGATCGAAGTGCTGGAGCTGGGGAAGGAGGACGTGGCCGCCGCGCTGTCGCTGCCGCCCTCGCCGCCGCGGGCGAGCGAGTTGGGCGCTCCTGACGCGGAGCCGGCGGGGGAGGAGTGCAGCTGGGCCGGCCTGTTCTCCTTCCAAGACTTGCGGGCCGTGCACCAGCAGCTGTGCTCGGTGAACTCGGAGCTGGAGCCCTACCTGCCTGCCTTCCCCGAGGAGCCCTCGGGCATGTGGACGGTGCTTTTCGGAGCGCCGGAACTATCCGAGCAGGAGATGGACGCTCTCTGCTACAATCTGCAAGTTTACTTGGTTCACAGCTTGGATACCTGTGGCTGGAAGATCCTTTCGCAGGTGCTCTTCACCGAGACCGACGACCCCGAAGAGTATTACGAGAGTCTGAGTGAGCTGCGACAGAAGGGGTACGAGGAGGTGCTCCAGAGGGCCCGCAGGCGCATTCAGGAGGTGAGGCTACTGCGTGGTCCAGATGCTCCCACTTCAGTGTCGCGTTTAGTTTAATCTGTGCCATCTTTTTTAGTCGTTCTTGTTCTTGCTGTCCTGTTCTTTAGTGAAAAAAAATGGGGTTTAACCTTTCCGAATTCCCTAGGGCCAGGATTTAAGGAGGTGCAGATTTCCCTACTCAACGGAGGGTGGCTCAGTGCTTTTTTTCTGTGCAATCAAATGTAGGTGTTCGTGAATAAATATCCGATGGATTTGGCAAGGTCTCGCTCCCATATTTTTGTTCTTGCATTGCTTTGCACCAGGATGTGGTTGGGGTCTGAATTTTTTTCTGTTAAATGAGAGCAGCAACATATGGCGTTTATTTTGATAGTACAGTTTAGGCATTTGAGGCCAAGAAATTCCAGGTTCATACCGTGGTGCTGAACCTGGTATTTATATAGTGAGATTGTTTTCCAGTGGAGTAGGAGTAACCACAACTTTTGTTCAGCTGAGAAGTTCCTAGAGTTGGAATTTAAAGAAAAAAGCAAGCTGTCTGGTCCTAGTGGATATTTGCTTTGTTGCTGTTGATATTGTCTGTCAAGACTTGGATGTTTCAGGACACTTCGTGTCTTTCTTAAACTGTATAGTGTTTTAGACAGAGTAGTTGAAGATGCCTGTCTAACTGACTTCTAGCATCAGTGTATGAGAATTTTTACTTTCTCGGTCTTCATGGACTGAGTTGTATGAGGACCCAGACTTCACGGGTATAAAATGAGAATTTTACAGTTGTTTTGGTGCTTCAGTGGCCTTGGTCCAGAATGTACCCGGATCTATGAAGGTGTGACTATGAGTATGAGTCAGGTTACTCTGTGCTTTATTTTTACAAACATCATCTTAATTCTGTCATGGATGTAGGTCAAGTTCAGCTGCTTCAGCTACCCACATATATCCTACCAATATTCTTTTACAAAATGTGTGGTGGTGATTGTTTTTTCCTTGATGGAGTGTGAGCATATCTTCTTGCTCTCTGGTGGCATAGTTTTGAGTCCATAGAATTCATGCCAAGCTTTTCCTTTGTGACTGGAGTTACAGAGTATGAGAAAATTGTAGTATCCATGATGTAATCAAAGTAAGAACATCCAAGTATAGCATTGCCAGGTAGTTTATTTCCAGACTGTTGTGTTAGGGTATATAATTTTGATTTTTCTTTTTTTTTTCCGTGTCTATTTAAAGGACTGTATTAAATCTTGTTATTTGGTGTACAGTTGGTAATTAGTTTGATAAAATTCAGCAGTGGTTTTAGTCCAGATACTGTGAAAACATACTGTCTTTCACTGGTTTTTTAAACTGCATGAATGCTTGGAAGCATATGCTTAAATTAGGTTTAGTCTTCAATTCAGCAGTTTTTACAAGGAGCTGTGCAGGATAAGAGAATTCCGTGTTAAACACACGGAATTTGGGAGCTGGATACCTAACTCGAGGGTTGTGGTGTTTTTGAGGAAATACTAGTTAAGAATTACTGAGCAAGAACCATTTGTTTCTTGGAGAATCTCAATTTCTATTTTGCCAGTACTACTGGCAAAAGCAAATTGGTTCCCTAAGCTACATAACTTGGCAAAGACAAAATGGCAGAGCCTGTACAGTAGTCAAATACAGTAGTATTTGACTACTGTACAACCCTCCTTTCCCATGATAACCAGTCCGGTAGTGTACCTGAAGTCAATACAGCTGTACTTCTGTCAGTTGTGTAAGTTGATCTTTCTTTAATTAAGGGTAGTTCATGTTTTAGAAAAGAAACCAATGGAATGACCTGCTCTTTCCCTCTTGGCTCTCAGGTTTCTCTTTTCCTTACCTGTTAGGGGTTTACTTGGTCTACAGGAAATGTCTTTCTTTAAGCAAATACTGATGCTCTTCATCATTGCAATTCTAAGCAAATGAAGCAGTGGATGATGGGCACTGCTTGGTATTTCCAAAGTAAAGATTTTTGTACTTTAAAGAAAACCTACTGAATGCCTGTTTTATCTCACATTTTACTTTTCCATCTGTGCTGGAATTCTGTCAGCTGATAGCAGGAATGTTGGGTCCAAGGAATTTAATACAATTTTGTCTCTTACAAGAATTTTTTGGGAAAAGAGGAAGTAATTGAGAAGCATTGGTAAACAGGATGGTATCTAGGAGAGAATGTGAAGGGTCTTCATTAATGTAAAATTGTGCAACTCCCAAGACCTTGACTTAGCATCTTAAAATGTGCCTCTGTAGTTTATAGTTATTTAATATATCTCTTATATTTCCTAGGACAAATTCCTCTGTGCAGTTAGACTATTACTTGAGAAATGCTTGCAGCTTCACTTGATTTGTATTCTTAAGTGAGCAACCAAACCTCATGTTCATTGTTTTAGCATCCCCTACTTGGACAGTTGTTGCTTCCATAAATTACTCACAAGCCAGTTTATTTTCACAGCAGTTAATAATCGTTGCTTTTTGTAATAGTAATTTTTATCTCAGTCCAAATTTTAGGCCTTTAATAAACCATAAGAATGTTGCAAGTAGAAACAGATCCAAGATGAGTAAGTAAAATAGTTGTAGAGGAACTGTGTGACCTGGGATTCATTTCTTCTGCCTGATTTACGGTTTTGAAATAACACTTTTTTTTTTTTTTTCCAAATAAAACTATTAATTTTGAAATAGTTGAGGAATTTATTTAAAACAAAAACTTGTTCATTAAGTTTATACCTGTTGAAAAAAAATCTTCAGGCACTCACTTAAAAGATAAAAAGGTGTTATTTCAACAGAGAGTATACCTTTGAATCCTTTTCTGGGATTCCAGCTTCCTGGGCAGTATTTCCAAAATACTATACTTTGTGTCAGGAAGGCAGAAAATGTTTGTACTCTTGGTCCCGCCAGTTGCCTGTTTATGTTCTTCCTACACAGAGGTTTTCCTAGGCTAAGTGTAGATGTTTGTAAATTTCTGTGAGTTTAGTAATATCAGTCATGGTGCTGTATGTCTTTGCCCATTCTGTGTTTTCAAAAGGGTGAAGACAATCATGTTGTCCTGAATAAAAAACGATGTTAGTGTAAACTGTGATCAAGAGGGATGGGTGGCTTAGTCATGCCCCAAACACATTTCATTGTGTGCTCTTGCATAACAAGTTGACATTTTGGAAGTCTCTCTGTACGTTACATGTCTACTTCAGCATCTTGGCAATGTCAGCTCCTGGGAACGTTCCTGTTCCATACAGCTCTTAGTGGACCAAAATTTGGTCTACAGCCCTGGTTGGGTGAAATTTGGTGGGTGATAGTCTATAGGATCTTGAGTGCCCGGTATAAAACTAGTCAGAAGCTTGCTTTGGTTTTCTTTTTGCTTTATTAAATCTATGAATTCCAGTGTTTGCAGGTAAACAAAGTCTGTTTTGTATCCCTGCTCTGTGTGTCTTCTTTAAAAGTTTTTTTTTAATGTGCAAGTTCAAACACTTGTAAGTGCCTGGTTAATTCTGAAGTAATTCTGAAAGCATCTTCTCTTTAGTGGCTGACTTTAGACTGCTGTGAAAGTGAGGACCTATGCTATTTATAATCTCTGTCTCCTGTATGGTGATGTATTTGCTAAGCATGAGAATAATCCTGCTTGGTTCAATTTTCTTTTGATTCAAAGAACTAGAAAGGCTAAGGAAAAACAAATCTATTTTGTTACAGTAGCAACTTTTATGAGAAGAAAACATAGCAGTTTTTGATGGAAAGCTATACGGTCACTTTATTCATAATCAGATAATTTTTTTTCTAAATTACTTTGCATGTTTAGTAGGCAAGTTTTTTTTTTTTTTGTTTTGAATGAATGAAATATGCTTGTCAAATTAGAGGAAATGGCAAGGAATTGGTTCAGTTATATATCATGGAATTTCACATTTATTACTTTCCAATGTGTATTTCTTCCATATTGTCACTCATTTCTGTTTGTATTAAAAAAGGTATGTATAATATCCAACAACATTTTGTTTTTTTGAAGCTGTTCTAATATTTTAGTAATCAATGATATTCAGGGTTGTCTCAGTAACTAGAAGAATTTTATTATTGTTTTTGGCTGTATGCATTCAGTTCTAAAATAAATGTTTGTGTGGTAGGTAGTGGGGCACTTAAAACAAAAGTAGAAGTTTTCCAAAAGTGAGGTGACTGGTTGCTGTTCAGTGATCTGCATCTAGGCACAAAGAGAGTTTCAACATCAGAATCAAAAATAATGCAAAAGTAAATATAAAACATGACAAAAAAGCATTCAGTGTTCCAATAACATGGAAAAAATGTTAGCAACAGTAGTGTTTCCATCAAAACCACTGTAACATCTTTCTATGCAAGAAGAAAGAATAACTGAATATTGTATATGAGCTGCAGTAGTTAGGTTTAGAAGATACATAAGGTGTTTCAGGAGGGAACAGAACACTGGTTTGAATTTAACATTGGGAGGACAGAAGATCACAATAAGGTACTGTGGATTTTTTTTCCTATTGACATGAGGAGAGCAGAGTTAAGACTAATGCTGAGCATTTGGGAAGTCCAAACTAGTTTTGTTGGAATGCTTTTTTTTGGGTATTTATTATTTGTAGAATTAACACTTGTTTCCAGTAACACTGTTTGGATTATAAATCCATTGTAAATAAGCTGTTTAAGTGCTGAACTAGTACTGTAAGTTTGTACTAACCAAAATATGTCAGCAGCTGTAGGGTATGCTCTGTAGAACTGGCAGGTAGCCTCCAAGCTCTTTGGAGACACCTACATGATATTAATGCTCTGGCTGGTATTGGGTGACAGCTAGAGCAAGTTGACAATGAGTACTGCAGTTGTACCCGGAAGTCAGAGTGCTTAAAACAATGTACATTTCTTCAAAACATGGGAAACTTACATGTACACAAAGAAAAGGGTGTTGACTTCAAAAATTACGTCATTCTTGACGGAATTTAAATCTTAGATGAAAAGTAGATATTGCATTCTATACAATATAGCAGTAGTAGTAAGCCTGGACTTAAGTTTTAGAAACT